TAGTGCATGTATAGTGAATTTATGTATAGTGAATTTATGTATAGTGATCGGACGCATTCAAAGTGCACTCTGGTGCACATTATAGATGATAACTGTGTTGCACCGAGTTTGTTAGAACGCACCCAATATCGAATAAAAATATCGACAAAAATATCTGAATATATTCAGGGGGTCGTTGACAATATATACATATAGGGTGTCCCGTAAGTCAACAGCTTTTGAGTAGACTGGACTAAACTGAGTCGAAAAGTCCTCTACCATTTTACAATTTTCGCAATAATTAATGAGATATTAATTACTAATAGTCGCTAAATATTGGTTTTTAATCAATCACTTTTTACTCAAATACTATCAACTTTACAGAAAAACAGCAAGAGATAAAATTGTTTACTTTCTTCTCATAAAATTCTGAGAATATTTTCAGAATTTTTTTAGAATTTTTTAATACCATATTTCCTCATGTTGGAAAAAATAAGAAATGCAATACTAAAAAATTAATAAAAAATTCTGAAAAAATTTTTAGAATTCTATGAAGAAAAAAAAATGATTTTTGTCTCTTGCAGTTTTTCTGTAAAGTTGATAGTATTTCAGTAAAAAATTATTTTTAGAAGACCAATATTCGGCAATTTTTAGTAATTAATATCTTGTTAATTGTTGCGAAAATTTCGAAATGATAAAGGACTTTTTGACTCAAGTTTTAGTGCGCTCTATCTACACAAAAGCCGTTGCCAAAAACTTACATGACATCCTATGCACAATTTGAAAATATTTAACAAATGTGTTTGTTTATATTTCGTAATATTTACATATTGTGTAATAAGTGAAAGTCTTAAAATATTGATTAAGACACAAAAGCAATCTTAACAAGAAATGAATAAACGCATTCAAAGTTTACTGGAACCTGCTGCCATCTAGGACTGTAATTTTCACTCTAATCCTATGCAATCCAAATTGCTTTTAAAAATCAAGCGAACATGAATCGTTTTGTTCTCTGTTTAATGTAATCGATAGATTTAATAGAAAATAAAGAATTTTTCATTACTATTTAGAACAATTTACGAAGATTCTAAAAATAAACTTTGCTGATTATTATCATACACTAATTCGAATGTTTAGAAAGCTATACACAAAACTACTGCAAGTCATTGAATTAAATTCAACTTGATACAAAATTGCAAAAGATTAGAATAATGGCTATACATTTTTAAATTTTATTTAATTCTTAATCTTAAATTTTTGAAGTAATATACAATATTTATAAAGTACGTAAATAAAACACATAATACATAGTTATAATATGTATTCTTTAATTTTTTAATTAAAATTAATAATTAGAGGTATAGCGTTTACAAATATTATTAACAATTATTATCACATTGGACATTATAAATAATATTTTTATATAATAAATTAAATTAATTTTTATTCGAGATCAAATACTTTTCTAATGCAAATTTGTGCGGAATAATGTCAAATGTTTAATTTAAAGTCTGTGAGAAGAGGATGCAGAGTGGATGAAAGGATAACCCGACAAGTGGCGCTATCTGTTGGGCTGATGCGGAGTCTCGTATACGTGAACGGAGCAATGGCGTAGGCGGCGATCCGTGTGATAAATTAATTTTTATTACTTCGTGGGTGGCGGCTCTTACTATTGGTCGCTGATCGGGTACCTCCTACTCTGCAACGGAATCCTCTCCGGCATTATTCCATGCAACGACGGCGATAGAAAACGGCGTGTGATTTGTTTCGTCTTAAGGCGGAATGAACAAGGAAATCGATTTTTGCGTCGCGAAGATCGAGAATTGCAATGCGGCTGACACGACAATGGAACGGATATTTGCGTATCTTGCGAATAACTTTTTTGTTGGTTTCTTTCACAGATCGATGAGTCATATCGATTCAGGTAATCATTATGTATGAATTATTATGTACGAATTTCACGAAATCAAACATGCTTTGAATAAAATAATGAGGAAAAACTTAAATAACAAACAGAAAATGAATGACAAGCTATTATTATAAAAAGTTATAATAGTTTTTTCAAATAGTAATTATTATTAAAATCGAATCCTTCCGATTATTTAATATTTGGAGAATTGACCAGTAAGAAAAATACCAAATATATTTAATATTTATTGGATATAAATGCGCCAATCCAATTTCTATGCTTTGAAAAAAAAATCGTGTTCATAGAAGACAACAAAAGATGTTCATAAGTGAGCAATTCGCCTTATATGTGCATATTGAAATCACTGACACAATCAGGCATTAAAATCACCGGATCTTGCACTCATTGTTATTTCAACTCGTAGTGAATCCAGATTTCTTTTATAATAATATAAATATAAATAAGTGATATGTACAAAATCCTAATTAAATGTTATATACAATATATTTTTTAATACCTAATGAACATTTTATCGGTCCGAATATTTACGTTATGATTTTACATTTTTTAAATAATGCAGGCAAATTTATTATCAAATACTCATTTCCTCCCAGTATTCAGATACGATTAATAAACAATTATATTAATTAATATGAAGATTAAATACTTTATTATTTCATGCAATAATTTTGTTAGCAAACTAATCTAATTTAAGTCGCCACTGTTTCTCTATGTGTCATTATTTTATACTATTAGGTGTTGGAATTAATTCGTAGCGTTTCTTAATGAAAGAATGTTATTTATTTCACATGAGCATTAAAAAATACATTAATGAAAGTACTTCCCATCACTTGTAAAACGCTACGAATTAATTCCAACACCTAATAAAACAATAGATAAATTTGATACTACAGATTGAACAGTATTCGTAACAGATTTGGCATTGCTTCGAACTACAACAGGTAATAACTCATATTTTTAAGAAGCTTCATTTGTTTAATTTTCAAAATAGAATTAATAGAATATTATGCGAAGTTATTAGAACAATAAGTCTTATAATTCTTGCGATCATATAGCGTGAACATTTACAGATTCAAGTTGTGCTGTATCATGACATCGTGATTTGATCTCACCACTTCATCCAGAGTCATAGCCTGAATTATAGCCAGTTCGTATAGCGCGAAAAAAAAATACGTAGGCAATAAAGCACTTCGATACGATATGGTAGTATTCTCGATTACATTTATGAGATGGCTGACTGCTATAGTTATACAAATCACTATAAATATTGCATCGCGCTATATATGGAAATGGTATTGACGCATTTTACTGCGTCAATGCAATTCCTGAATCTAATTCATCGATGACTTGATTCCCGAAAGACTATGCCTTGTTTGATTATTTTACTGGAAGGAAATGAGTATTTGATAATATACAAAACATAAAAAAAATTTTCTCGAGTTTGTGATATTCTTAATTGTTTCAGTGACAAGATTAAGATCATTAATGAAATTTTTCGAATATTAAAAAAAAAAGATGGGATGAATTTGATCCAGTAAAGTTAATTTTGTATCATGATAAATATAATTTTAGAATCATTGTGATTCACTTTAAGACTAATGGACAAAGAATATAGGTATGTACTGAAATTAAAATTTAATTACATTTTTTTTATGTTATTTTAGGAGCGTCTTTGTATTAAAGCAAAATTTTGCTTGTTATTTAAAAATTTATTACTATTATTTTGGAGAAAGATTATATATAATATGTATTATATATAATATGTATTATATATTTGGAAGATTATATACACCGTGAATCATTATAATCTTTTTCCTCATATATCTACTTATTATTTATACCACGACTATTATAAGAGATTAATAGAATTTTAGCAGATATCTAAAATTATTACTGAAAATTGCCTTCTAACTCACAAGTACACTCTCCTCGTAGAATATACCAATTTGTAATATATTTACATCACATTACAATATTAAGATGTAAATATGACATCATAAATTCTTCTCGATTTATTTCATTTTCGACTAGTATCAATTATTCAACTGTTTTGAGATTATGCTATCAGAGCGACGTAACATAATAGGGAGTATTCTAATTTTCTATTTACCGATACTTATATAATTACATCATTTAATCGATACTTCTTTTTTTCTCGTTCACGATAATAAAACGAGGAAAAGAAATCAATGTTTCGCGAATGCAAATTCAAATCCATGGATGATCTCGTGATTTTTCGAGAGAATCGCGGCATTGTAGAACGGAATGAAATTCCGTGCTGCGGATCTGCATAAAATACCGCTGGATGAGAAGGAGGGCTGTTGTATGAGAGCAGGAGAGAGGGAGCGCGCATACGTGTGTCGTCTCTTCGGTCGCGGGAGAATCGCGGCTGCTCGCGAGAGAAGCAGGTTGCAACTGGATGGTGAGGAAGAGAGACGAATGCAAGGCGGATAGACGGTGAGGAACAAAGTACGAAACGAACAGCTGGAATGACGGAGAGGAGCGAGCGCGCGAACGAGCGAGAGGGAAACAGCTGGACTGTGTTACCTCCAACGCGGCGCGGCGCGGTGCGGAGACGGATGCTGCGGCAAGGCGGATCGAGAGGGAGAAGGAGAACGAGATGGGGGAAGATCAGAAGAGATAGATAGATAGAAAGAGCGAGAGCGTGACAGTGGGAAGGACGGAGGCGCGAGTGAGATCGGCCGGTGAGGAGCGAGAAAGATGGTGGAGCATATACTCGCGAGAAGGCTGCGGTAGTCTTTCTCAGCTGGCTAGGTGAGATAAGGACAAGGCGGACAAACGGATTGAAGAAGGTGCCTAAGGTAGGGATATTCAGTCTCGCGGCCACGTGCTACACGAGCGCACGCCCCGAGCCGGCCGGCGGTCCAGCCAGCCAGCCAGCCAGCTACGACATCGTCCTCTTCTTCGTTCTCGCAATCTTCGATTTATCAATCCGCGCTTCCTCCCGTCCATTTATCCATCTGTTTGTCCGTTCATGCCTCCGTCCCTTTTTGTTTCGTTGAATGGAAAAATCGTCAAAAAGTCGCGTGACGTAGTTCCGAGCGATTGGTGTGATTCTTCAGCAACATCAGCATGTTCCGAAAGGAGCAACACGCGCGTAGTGTTTTCTCCTGAGATATTGAAGAGACACTCATTGTCAGCTGTGATCCGCGCAAAGGGCGATATCCTGTTGTGATTCTTTCCGACCCGATGGATTGCGTTTTTCCCCTGCTGGAAGATATTTTCGATACGAATGTGGATCATATAAATATCGGTTTGGTGTAATCCCGACGTTATCGCAACGAGGACGATCGCGTACTGTTTGACAACATACAGTGCGTGGATGAAGAACGTGCGTCGATGTGTGCTTTCTGTGTTGAATAAAGGCGGGGTGACGATGATGCGTGCTGTCACAACGGACTGACACGTGTCCATAGAAGCGACGGTGCGAAAAATTAGAAAATTGGGGGTTTGATACGGAAGTGTATCGAGAGGAAGAGGAATAAACGGGAACATTTTAGTGAAAGACATTACATAGGTATGTATATCGATACATTTCTAGTTGTCATTGCAGTGCAGTGTCGGAATTATAGGCGGATCTAAAGTTCCTCCTTCTTACTTTCTGAGAAGAATGGATGAGAATTCGTAAAAAAGACGGGCTAAAAGTAACACCGTACAATTTCTTTCTCATGTAAAAAAAATGTCAATTTCTCACATATTTGTTATACTATAATTATATTATTTAATTTTAATAAAAAAGGAAAAATCTTATAATTTTAGAAAAAAATATTTTTATAAGAGAAATTTATCAATTATCGATTTTTTTGGAGAACCTTAGAGTACTTTTTGTAGATCCGCCTATCCTTATATTTTTTATTATTCTATGTATTCTTCTCTTAAACGGTATCGTCTCTTTGCATGTTTTAAATGTTAAAAATAAATATGTTCGATTTATCACTTATACATTAGTTAGATTCGTTTCATTTGAATACTCGACACAATCACATTTCCAGTGACATTTGATATAATCGCACGAGGAGATTTCAGATGTTGTGCAAGGTTAAAGTTTATTGTTGCTTGAATATTTATACTCGGAGGAAAAGACATAGTAGTAGCAAACTATAAAAGTGACAGCTACACAAATTTTATGTGTAGAATAAATCATTTTATAATTATTGTACTTAATAAATAATTTATTTAATTATGTATACTACTTCTACTTAAACTTGTTAGTTGTTATTTTATTACCGTATATACTTTTCTTTGAGCGTAGAATATGATTTTCTAATACATTACGAACACTATATTTCCCACATTTACTGAGGAATAATTAACAATCACGATGTTACACTCTTGTGGAAAATTTTGACACAATGTCAGATGTGCCGATAGCGCGATCATTTATTTTATCATCTCGATAAATATCGTAACAATCTCTTTGGTACGAATGCAATTTTCTATTATTCCATTTACGCCTATTAATACATCAAGACTTAATAATCCCTTATGTTAAAATAAAATTTCTATCTGTGTCAGTAATGGTCAAATCTTAGAAATTAAAAAAACTAAATTAAAAATAAGTTCAACACAAATGAGTAAAGAGGACTATATTTGACAAAAATATGTTGCTTTCAGCAACCAAATGCCGAAGCTTTCAAAGTAATAATCAGTGTAGAGAAGATTCCTATTCGTTTAAAGATTTATACATCTATGATATTATAATGCAATGTTGTACTTAGCCATAAGTTCGCTAGTTATTTTTCCATAATTGTATGGAAATCTATGGCTCGGTTTCAGTGCTCGCGATTATTTAATAATATGCGTCATCGCGAGTTCGGCAAGTCAACAATCAATGCTGCTACACGAAAACTGGATTCAAGCCTTACAGCAGTTTTGATTAATTTGTCACAACTTAGAGAAAAAAAGAGGGAGTGCAACAATTTTAACTGTCTACAGCTAGTACTGTGATATCCGTGTGACGTATCGCTCACAACCGGTTCATTAAAGCAGCAATTCGCTCGTCACTCATTGGCTGCCACAGCTTGGCAGCGATCGAGATGTTCGTCCGGCGAAAAGGAGAAATAATAAAAAAAAAGAGAAAAGAAACGAGATGAGAAACGGCGCGTATATATGATTCCTCTAACGCGCGAATGTGTTTCAACTTTCAATCATTATTATTGCGAAGACGAAAGGCAAGCCGATTGCGACTATCGTGCGTCTCTGTCAGGTGGAGAAAAAATATTGCCGGACAATCGAATTATTAATAGTGAGATAGGAGTGGCGGCGGCTTTCATAAAACGAGAGGTATCAATGGGAGAAACGACGAATCGATGATCTTGGGGAATTGCCAGAAATTTGTGTTATCACAGAATAATATATTGGATTGCTTCAGGCAATCTATAGTGAGATATTAGGGAGTGCGGAAAGTATTCGAACGCTCTTGTAAATCGTATTGGATGTCGATAAAAAAATTAATTCGACTTTCGAAGCGATATTTATAGTCCATTCTTTATTTTAATGTCTTAATATCTTAAGACGCTAATACAGTTCTCTGATTGGTTCATAACATCTTAAAATGGTCTTAAATATAAAAACCAGCTATGAATGCCAGCCTCGGTTTCAATCGGGCGTACTTTAACCCGCGACGGAACGCGCCTTTAATGCGACGCGAAGCAGAACATTGTTCCGTACGTCAAATGTCAAACCTCGTCGATCGATCGCGCTGTTGCGGCGAGGAGATCACGACGATTTAACATTTCCGTGCGCGCAGCATCATTATCTCTCGCTGACGCACCGTTAATTACGCTTTAATATCCTAATTATTTCACAGATTATACTCACAATTGGTCCGCGCAGCTCGCAATTAATAAAACTATTCGCATCGATCGTTCACGTAACTCATTGATTAGCGAACGAACGGTAGACGCCATGCTCATGATCATTTCGCACATGAAGAGAAACGATTCTCCTTCCTCCGATTCTTCAAGGATCGCGGATGGTGTCGCGATACGCGTAAATACCGGAGACGTGGACTCGCATGATGACAGCTGAAACATATCGGCGATGACGGCGCGCCGATAATAGTTCCAAGCGCGAAACGCGAGAACGGTGTCCTTCGGCGCCGGCTAATGAAATATACGCTCGTAGACGCGGCTCAAAAACACAAATAGGAAAAACCCTGATGGCACCAATGGCCGATCGCCACCGTCATCGCTGTCATCGTCGCCGTAATTCTCGCGAACGATCGTGTTTATCGTCGCGTTACAATTGCGCTACCGCCGGCTCGTCGCGCGGCGCAACGTTAATCCGTGAAAACAAGGATTTATCAGAGCCGGAGAGCAGTAAGGTGACGACGTGTTCAACGAAACCGGTCTTTCGCGGCATTTACGGTTGTTAATTAATTTGTCATTAGTCAGCGTGAAAAGATGAGAGGCGCACAATAAAATTTATCGATGGCCGCAGCGCCGTGCGACCGCGGTACTCTTTGTCGTGGAGGTGACCGATTATGGCAATTTTAATAATATATACGTGCGGGAGCAACGCGTTCGCCAGATTGCTCACGAAAGCGGTCGTTTAGTCGTATTGCAATGATTTCTTTAATTGAAGTATTAATGAGAGATCTGAGAGGACCTTCCTGGAGACGGCATTCATTGTCAGATATAGTCCGTTGTGTCTCTAATGCCCAATTTTTTCATCTCTAGATATCCAGATATCTTTATCCAAGGGATATCTCCCAGATTATAATGAAAATATCTCCTGGATCAGGTTATTCGCAATTTATCTGGAAGAGAAGAAATTGGACATAATTGAATATATACGTTTTTATGATAATTATTTTCAGAGATCATGTGAGTGTAATGTTATGCACTGTACTTTCTCTCTCTCTCTCTCTCTCTCTCTCTCTCTCTCTCTCTCTCTCTCTTTTTGATAAGATATGTAAACAGCAATGCCCGGAATATTATATACATCTTGACAACAAGCTATTCTTGTGGATATATTTCCAAATATCTCAGAACCAATAACTACATGTACACATAATGAATGATTTTGTTGAATCAACTATCAAGATACGTATATCTAAACATTTAAATAGATACAATCTGACAAAATATATGTATAATTTTATGAGGTGCCAAAATAATTAAAGGATAATTAAAGGATTTCAAGCGATAAGCATACTGAGAAAATTTTGACATTTTAGCAATCAATTTGAGCGTCTCATTATTATTTTGATGATCTAACATTATTTTCAGATCTGTGTTCATAAGTTAAATTTTTATACTTCAATCGATCTTTCTGTGTATAGTTATGGATTATCTAAAAGCTACAATTTTTATTATAAATTAAAAGTAAAAAGAATCTGTATTGTCAGTCATACTAAGATTTATACTTTAAATGATTTCGAATTATTATAAATCGATAATTAATCTTTTATTAAATAAAGTCCTACAAGATTCAATATTGTTTATTAAACAAAGTTTTAGTTGTAGATTATTCGTTATTCATTAATGCCCGTTAGTGTTTCGGATTAAATATATCATTATTTTATATATATATCATCGCAATTGTGCAACCTATAACGTTACAATTCAAACTTGAAAGTTATAGCACTATAAATTCGTAGCGCTTAACGCAATTTAACGTGCTTCAATTATAATCCATGAATACTAGAAAATCTAGTGTATAATCTTTACTGCTATAGATTCCCGCATATGTAACACGATCGTGTTGCAAGTATATGCCAATATTACTCAGTGATCGTATAGATTAACTCAACGCAACGACGCCAATTACCGCGTTCTTAATCGTGGCTTTGTGATCGACCAGGGAAATCTCGGTATCCTCAATTAACATTTACTTTCAAATCACGTCTTGGAACTGGATTAATTCTCCAGGCTACCGATTGTTATTCCCACGAGCGCGTTGCGCTCGTTCCTCAAGAAACCGAGCGCATTTACTTACCGAATTATTGTGCGTAATAAACGAATATATTACTTGCCACGATGTATTTACGACATTTACCATTCCATCCCGAATTGTACGATACGAGTTTCTTATCGACGGATCGAAATTAAACATTGTTAATTAGAAGCACGATTCATACACGCCGCTTAAAGTTCCTGCGTGGTGCGCAGGTCGACAATTAATACGTGGCAGGCTCTGTAATTAGCTCTTGTATTTATGCGTCCCTCGCAGGGCGGTCTACGTTAACATTGATAATGGCGTTACACCGTTGTAAACACGACATGTTATCTCGAGCGATACGAACCCGGGGGTCTCAGGAAGAACGTTCGCCGATCATGATTTCGGCGGACTGCCCTCTCTCGTTTCTGCGACCCGCCGCTCGTATTCTGGAATAATTATTATACATCGCGCTGATATACGCCGCCTCGTGCGCTTGTTCGCCATAAAAATACCACTTTGATAGTGGGATATTCGTTAACGTACATTCGAGTATTCTGTCGCTGGGAGGCGACATTCTTGCCGGACGCAAATTATTTTATCTCGTATAGTATATTATACAGCGAATAAATCGCCGAATCTGAATAAGATATTATGATCTTGAACATGCATGGTATGTGAAGGCAATAGAAAAAGTATTCGAAACTTAATCGAAACTTGTGTGTGTGGCCGGAGTAGTTATTAATATGTCATCGTTAACAAGCGATACTGGACGTTATCGCGAGATTATTTTTCAGAGAATTATTTGTTTGTCTTTTTTCTCCTTTATCAGGCCGGATGTCACACGTCGTGTGAACATTTCAGCACGCCGAAACGCGAGAAGCGCGCAAAATGGTGGCTCGTTACGTCAAACGGAAAGAGGGCAGGTCGGGTCACAGGCCAGGACGACTGACACCGAGGGATTAAAACGTGTCGAATGGATGTGGGCGATCTGTCAGGTCCGGCAGGATTGGTAGGGAGTGGATCCATCTCGGTTGCGACGGGTGTTGGTATTATTGCCAACGCGACATCCGCCACTCCAGGGTGGTGGACGCCTACGTCGACGATCACATCGGCAGCGCCCAACACCGACGTGGTGAGTCTTCTTTTTTTCTTCTAATTACCAGTTTGTGCAGAAGTCCGTCTCTTAAAAAAAAAAAAAAATGAAACGAAGATGTATTTTATCATAAATCTATACTTATTTTGTGTTCTATATATATAATATACAAATGCAACATTTGTTTTCAAAGAAGGATAGCTGTGTAAATTTTTTCATACGATTACTTAATTCTTCAGAGTTGACGGTGAGTCTATTGGCTCATTCAATTATAAAGTCAAAAATATTAAACAATTTAATTTTTTTATGTTACATCTCGTATTATATTTGAATCATTCTTATTAAAATATATTTAGTATTCATTCTTTTTTATGCGAATAATGTCATTTTGATTTTTTAAAATTAATTAATGACTTTTAATCAACATAAAAACGGTTTTACAGACTCAGCATCAGTAATATCGTATTTAATATCGTATATTTGTATATCGTATTACAAATTTTAGAGTCAGCTCCGGAGGAGTATTAATTAATATTAATTAACACGAGTACTTGTTTAATAAGATTTTTATGTTAGCTAATGTATTCAGTTATAATAGGAGAATGTCGAAAAAATTTGGATATTTGTAATTGATATTTGTAAATATTTGCATTAACGCTACAAAGTTAATCGTCGGACGAGAGAGATTCGTATGTCACTTGTAAATTATGGTCTTTCTTATTATTCAAGTATGAGATTTCTGCGCATTAATGTACGCGATTTAATTAAATTAGTGTCTTTTGCGAACTCGGATTGGAAATGCGTGGGAGTCATACGAGTTTACACTTGTCATAATTGCTCGCTTGGCGGTTGATTAGTATTTACACGCGCTAGATTATTCTAAATCATTAAGTAACCGAGGTTCAGCATAACGGAATCGAGGGAACGATGGGAACCTCGGAAGAGAAGAGAACCGTGTCGTTCGCGATGTAAAAAGGTCATCAACATTATATCGGCACGTTCGCCTCTTCATTCAACGTCGCTCGTGGCGGCACTTAATGAGATGATTCTCGTGTGGGATGTGGGTGGGCGATGGAAAGGATTTGGACGGATGCAGACCATTTTGTAGCAATGTAGATTATTCTACGCAAAATATGAGAAAAAGCGGCACAGACCAAAGGGAGAGAACAGCGCGTTATTTAGTCCCGTCGATGTGTGGTAGTTTGTGGCCGCGGGGATTAGAACCGAGGTGACATAGCCGCGTCATCTGTTGGACGTTTAACCTTTTTTGCCTCCTACCTCGGCCTGCACGTCGCTACTTCTCGTCGTCATTTCCGCGAGAAGTCATCAGTCTGTACCGCGCATACGTTCCCAGGTTAATGAGATCGAAAGTCGTTTTCGAATACCTGCCACTGCTAACCTGCGCTTTAGCATTCGCGACCATCGGAAGAAATCCCATCCAATATCCCATCATTTGGAGAATATTTGAAGAGGCCGTAGATTAATCTTTACCCCATTAGAAACCCTCTAATAAGAATTTGTACAAGTTCTCTTTCGTGTTTTCTCAAAATCACGCGAGAGAGAAGGATATTCATTATTTCTTTCTCTTCTATATCTTTTTCTTATCTGTTTCTTTCTTTCCGAATAAAACATGGCAGATCAATCAAAACTAATTATCTCATATCTGTACGGAAAGAACGGTTTTACTAAAGTACCTATCTAGAAATTTAGTTAGATACAAATCTGAAAAATTTGTTTTTGTTGGACTTATCAAAATAATTATGTAGAACGCCCAAATTGTTTGCTAGAATGTCAAAACTTTTTGTAGCAAGTATTGCATATCATGTTCGATACGCACCATTCCTATATAATTCTTTTGATGATCCAATAAAATTATCTTTAGATCTATATCTAACTAATTTTTTAGATATTTCAATACAATTTTTACATTCTTTGTAGATTCTTATTAGAGTAATTAAAGAATCTCTATCCCGCACGCGAAAAAAGAGAAGGTTTTCGCTAGGTAGGAGAAATGTATTCATTTTTCAGTTTCGAATTTTTACAGATGAAATTAAGAGACTTATCGAAAAAATGAATTCTATACCAATTACTACATACATTTGACCTATCTAATAATATTTTAATAATAAGGGGAAACTGATAACTAATATGAAAAAAATGCATTTTTCTAATGCATTCCATCTGATTCAACTAATCCCGGGATCGGGATAATTCGACTAAGTTTATTAAAATAAAGATTAATATATTTTAAGTTACATTTTTGGCTATATATTAATGAAACTTTTATAACAATATATTAGGTGTTGGAATTAATTCGTAGCGTTTTTTAATGAAAGAATGTTATTTATTTCACATGAGCATTAAAAAATACATTAATGAAAGTACTTCCCATCACTTGTAAAACGCTACGAATTAATTCCAACACCTAATATCTTAAACACAAACATTCGCTTCGCAGGGCAAAACAATGCTTCTTTTTGCAAAATTCATTCATTTCGTGCAAAAACACATCGAATGAACCTAGTTTTCGAGATTGGACATAATGGAACTAAACTTATAACATTTACCATTGAAGAAAATCTCTTTAAAGGAATAAAATTTTGAGTAAGTACTATAAGAGTCACTAAATGAATCATACAGTTTCATACAGTTTGCTGTGATTAGTCTACTATTTCCCCATCCGTTCATTTTTTAAAAACATTAACAATATACGATAACAAAGAAAAAAAACATATAAACAAAAAAAATCTGTTGGACTTTATTAAGTAAGAACTACTTATCTAAGTAGAAATCAAATATCTCAATCATATATGATCGTAAAACAAAAACTTTAAGAATGAAAATATTTACTTAGGTGTACAATGTTAAAATAATTTTTTTAAATTGTGGCATAACTTCTATCAGATGTGTTCGCAACAAGATGCTATAGCAGACTTAGCGACAATTGCTGCTGCGTGTTCAGACGCGTTTTCGCGTATTTTGTTTTTAATGTAGCCTCGATTATTCTATTTATCTCTATAGTCAACTGACTTCGGTCTCCCCTATATCTGCACATAGCATGCGTATTTATTGACGTAAATATTACAGTTAATTAATTGCGTACATTAGCGTCATTATGTCGAAATATCTTTTCTCATGATTTAGATCGCGTAGAGAACCTCACATTGAAAGAATGATTTTGTTGAAATATATAAACATTTAGCTAAAATTAGGCCATTAAAATATTTGTGTGGGAAACTCAAGCATGATGAACAATATATTGCAAAAATTTTAATATTCTAGCAATCAACTTCTATATAATTATCTTAATAATCCAATAAAATTTATTTCCAGATCTATATTTAGCTAAATTTTTAGATACTTCAACAAAATCGTTCTTTCCGTGCTCGCTCGCGTAATCGTTTTGTAATCAAATATCGATTCTGTGTGAGAGGGCGGTGCCTAAATTCGATTGATCCAATGTATATTACCTTGCGAATCGCCGTTATCTCGCATTACAAATACACTCGAAACGGAGTTCAAAGTAAACCGTTACGTGTAAATATCCATTCGTGCAAGTCGCACAGTAAAAATGAATTAAAATATTAATGAATCATAAAATTTACTTGCGAAAGTAATAAATGACCGCGTCATTCCATCTGACCATGTGACGCCCGCGCGACGGGCGAAGAAAAGTTCCGGCGAATACGAATCTCACACGAGCACGTTTTGATCATCCCTTGACAATTACCGCTCGTAACGCGAGCGATCAATTTCTCGTCGCGTTACGATAGAACGGCGGCCGTTACTGTAGCGCATTCTTTTCGTGTGGGAATCGGATCTGTGCGATCCTCGTCGTATCCTCCACTCTTTTGCTCGCGCACAATCCGCGTGTTCTCTTCTCCCCGTGCCTTTCTCGCGACGAGCCGCACGAGGCTCGTCCAAGCTCCCATGAGGAGCTAGTAATGACTGGCTAACTAGGTTTTAATAGGAAGACGATTTCTCGCAGCGAGAAAATAGACCCCTCGTTCGCGCGCTCCTCGTGCGTACGAGGTAAGAAAGAGTTCTTCTTCTTTCCCGCGCGACATCACCGTCCGAGGATCCTCCATAGCGGAACAGATGCACGCTCGCGTTGATTACCGACTACAATGCGCGGATCGGCCGCGGTTGCATTATTCGACAACAGATTGTACGTAGTTCAGGATATATTGACGCGAGATCGAATTTAAAGATAAGAATTTCTTTATGAATTTCCTTCATTCCTCATTGTTAGACTGCAATCGAATTGTGGCAGAAGCTGCAGAAATAAATTCTTTTTTTCTGAATTATTTTTTATTTTTAATGTAAAATAATGCAAAACAGAGGAGAATTATTATGTTTAAAAATGACGCATAACAAAATAATAATAAAGAAATAATATTGTATGATAAAATTTGCTAATCTCAATTTTATGATAATGGAATTGATCCAAGATACTATCACGTATAGGTTGCGATTCTTTTTATAAATATGTAAATTGGATGGACGATATTTTATGAGTATTTTATATGTTACAATATTACATTTATTATAACGGATAAAAATATAATGCTTATTCATAAGATCTTGATTAAATTTTGTAATTCTAATGGGTATTGAAGAAGATAATAATTAATTGATATTTTACACATACAGATAAATTGATAACAATATCCCTTTCGAAAATAATTTATTACATTTATATATTAAGAGAAAATACATTGGAAATATACTGGAAAAAGTATATTTTAATAGATTTTTATATTATTCGATAATGCAAGTCAAGTTATAAAGAAGATATATTATACATATTTACCATATTTATTAAATTGTCTTGTTTCTTTTCCATCATGATGTCATAATAGCGCTTTGTATCGAAAGAGGAGGCTCCGATCCTATACTCTATCACAGTACTCATCGTTGTTCTGATCTTGCGTTTCGAGAGCATGCATTAGATCGAGAAACCCTTTTGTGATTGGCAGATATTGTGCGGGGATCAGGCACACGATCGTCGGGCATATTCTGAACGTCCTCAGATCCCCGAGCGTAACCACATGTCGCATCTTTTTGTTGCAGATGAATCAGCTCTGCAGGGTTTGCGGAGAGCCAGCCGCGGGTTTTCACTTTGGGGCCTTCACGTGCGAAGGCTGCAAGGTCAGTATCTTCGCGTCGCCATTCTTCCACAGCTATTCATCCGTATCGTTATTCTCTAGTAACAAAACAAAAAAGGAATAAAGGAGAAAGATAGAAAGAGAGGAATGACTCGCGATCCGTTATGTTTCTCGCGACATTTACACCGGAAATTACGTAAATCGCATAGAGTAGGAACAAAGCGTAATAGTATCGGACATATCACTTTTTTATATTATACATAAATCGGGCTCTCGCATCGGTGGCAGTACAAGAATATCCTAATAAAAATTAATTACCCATAATACTCGTTTACAAATTTTAAATAATTTTTAATAAGAATAAAAAAATCATTTCAGAGGTATTTGACACATTTGAGTTTGAATCTGCCATCAGAAATTCTATCAGGTCGAATTTTTAAAATGCAGCATATCATTTTAAGATATATAATTTTTTTTTTTTAATACTTTCGGTGCGATGAATTATAAGCAAGGCGAATGTTTTCGGATTCTGATGATAATTGAGAAACATTATCAGGGATATTGGAATGGAAATATGCTAAATGACTATTATTGGTTTCTAATACGTGAAACCAATCTAGTCGTGTAAAAAACAAAATTTGAACTCTCAACACTTCTTGTTGAGAGTGATTTGTTTTCTAATTTCAATAAAAAAAAACTTTACTATATGTATTCTCTAAATTTTTTGTGGAACCTCATTCTAAAGAATAAAAATTGAATCAGTCTTGAAAAATAGTAGCTCAGTTTTCAATCTTTAAGAGTGAGATTTCGCTCTGGAAGAGTAAGAATCTGCATTCTAAAAGTTTTAGAGAGTATATTGGAAAAAATATCTTTTCTTATATTTAAAGATTCGTACCTGATGAAAATATTTCGAGCAGATCAGACTCAGCATTGAAAATTATCCTAGAAATTTTATATGCTTCTGCAAAGAACTTTATAAATTAGTGTAATTCATTATCAAATTAAGAATTGTTACGCATTATTAATCTGTGGGAACGGATCTGTGTGCCATTTTGTGCAAAAGTTAAATTGTATCTCGCGAGTACGCGATTTTTAGCGAAAACTTGTAGATTTTCGCGGCTGCTAAGAATCTGGTTTTACTAATAGAGATAACTAAACATTTATTTCAACGCGCGCCTGAATACTTTCTCAGTATGCCTGGTCTCTAATAAAGCGAAAGCGCAAATCGTTAATCGATTACGACTGACCAATGCGCGCCCTTTTCGCTTTCTGTTGTACAGTCCTTCTTCGGGCGCACCTACAACAATCTGGGTAGCATTTCCGAATGCAAGAACGGCGGCGTCTGCGTAATCAACAAGAAGAATCGTACCGCCTGCAAGGCATGTCGCTTGCGGAAGTGCCTGATGGTGGGCATGTCCAAATCCGGCTCGCGCTATGGCCGACGCTCCAATTGGTTCAAGATACATTGCCTGCTGCAAGAACAGTCTCAGCAAGCGCAAAATCGCCTGATCAAAGATCCCAAGTCCGCGTATGAGAAAGCGTTCGGCTCGTTAGACGCCGCGAATAACAATAATAATAATAACAATACCGAAAACGCCAGTAACACCAGCGCCAGTAGCATCGTCGGCATTGTCACTACGGCGACCACTACGGCGAACAGTTACCATCATCACCTGCACCACCATCACCATCCTGATCGATTGCCCAAAAGAGAGGATGGTGCGCTCAGGCCACCGGATCTTCCGGTGCAACTAAGGTCACCCGATATCCCGCCGAGAAGCAGCCAGGAAGCGATCCTGAGGCCTACCGATCTCCCGAGAGCACCGCACGAGATGCTCAGGCCTGAAGTTTCGAGGTTCCCTATGTGGCGGGGTCCACCGTTGTTTCATCCAGCGCTCACGCACATGCAGTTGCTGAACACGCCGTTCTTTCCGTTTCAGCAACGCTTTATCGTACCTTATGTGAATCAAGTAGGTCCACCGCAGATGGCGACCAGTTTGTCGAGCTCGTCCAGCGAGAGCATCAGTCCGCGATCGACTCCATCGCCAACGAAGAGAAGTGAAGAGAATCGAGAATGCCGCGAGATCGATCGCGAGACCGCCGAACGAGATCGATGTCCTAGAGCAGGTTCGATAGAGGTCGCATATGATAAGAATCTGACATTCTTGCGATCTCTCGGGCCAGAGCAAGATGAGCCAATGGATCTCAGTATGAAGGACACAAGGACAGATGGACAGGAGGCGGATGCTGGCAGTATGGAGGAGGAAGAGGAGAAGTCGAGCAACAGCGAGGAAAGTGAGCTTCTGCAGGACACCGGACCACCCTTGGATCTCACCCGAAAGACATGACCTCGGATATCAAACGGTGCTCACTAAGTGCTCAAAACAAAAACTGAATCCGATCGAGAAAGGATCACCGTCGGTGTCATCCCCCCCCCCTCCCCCTAAATTCACGTGGATAATAGGGGCAAGGTCGTCGAGTAATTTGTTGAAATAGAAGCTAACGATCGAAGGCTCTCCCGTAGCAGGAGGAAAGAAACGAGCGATCAAAGGTAAAAAAAAAAACGAATGAATGGGAATACTGACGAAAAAGAAGAAGAAGGCAAAGAGAAAGGTGAAGAAGAGAATGGAGAAGAACGCACGAATCATACGAGATGCGGAGAGAGGGTGAAAGAAGGTACAGTTACATCGTAATAACGCGGCGAGCGAGAAGGCACGGCCGAGTGTCAAAGGTGCCTTGGCGCAAGAAACGAGGAGGCGACTCAGGGGGAAAGAGGAGTAGCCGAATACGATTACGTTGGAACGACACGAGAAAGGGAAAAGCAGGAAGAAGCGGGGAGAGCGCGGTCGACCTACGCCGAAGAAGAAGAAGAAGAAGAAGAAGAAGAAGAAGACGAGGAAGAAGAAGAAGTGCCGCGCGTAGCCAGCCGGCATAAACGGCTTTACGATCGGCGATCGTCCGATCGATGAAAATTGCTCAAGCCGCTCGGTATTAACCGACAGTCGACACACAAGTCTCTTTTGCCCGGTCATACCCCGATGGCAGGTGCACATTGACGAAGCGATCGAGAATATATCGGCTCGCGATACATTCTCTTTCGTCGGAGAAACGTACGACGGACGTATCGTGCCTTATGAAGCTGGCATCGGACTATGCGCGACTCGCGATTCCGGCTATTCGTTATTGAGTCTCGTGTATAATTGTGGACAGGTAGATTCGTCGCGTTCGTTATTCGTCGCTAATTCATCATTCACGCTGATTCATCAGCGCGGAGCGGTATATCGACGAAGCTAAAGGGCGTGAAACACTATCGTATCAATTCATTCGTGATCGTTCGTGTATAGAGCTGCGCTATGCGAACGAACGAGACTACGAATCGCGAATCGTGTGGCAGGGTTCACATCGGCGAACCGACGAATTTTCCACTACGGATCACGAACCGCGAATCACGAATCATGAATCGCGCATATCGTAGCACCAGCTTGAAGCGGTGCCTTAAAAAATACGGCGGTAAAAAAATAACCGCCGGTGATAGTTTAACGTTTAACGATATGTAACCGTTTGCCGTAGCGTGGCGACAACGCACGGCGGGATGGCCAGTGAGTGCTTCGCGCGTATTATTGCGCCGACGAATCGTTCGGTAGTGTTCGGAGGCCTCGGATCGGCTTACTTCGATCCGTGCACTCGCGTCGATTTGTCGGAAGAAAGAAATCGACGGCGATGCAAGAGATCGAACGACGACGATCCGGGCGCCGGATATATTGTGATTCTGCGAATTCCAAGTGCTCTTAGTACGTAACTTATGTATATTTTTTCGAGAATCTTCGGTCGGACGAACAGGGATGATATCGAATCCAAGCGCGAGGAACCGTTCCGAAAAGCTCTGATCGTGCCGATCGTCCACAGTAGGATCCGCAGTTGCGTTTAAGTACAAAAAAAAAAGAAGAAAGAAAGAAAGAAAGGAAGGAAGGAAGGAAGGAAGAAAAGAATATATATGGGAGATGCGGTAGCCACGATCAGATGATACGCGCGAGGCATGGGCACCGTTTGAGTGTCCGAGTCGAGAGAAGAGTACGAAATGAAATAAAGAATATTGTATACTTAAATGTGTGTAATACCTTGATCGCCGTTCATTAAATATCCCTTCACGCTCATCGATCCCCGATCCTCCGTCACGTTCTTAACGCGAGATGGTATTCGATTACTTTCGTCTCGCGCGTCTTTCACATTCCACGCCGCGCCGCTATCACGTACACGCGCGTTATAATATTTACCATATACACGCGCGCGCGTAGACGCGTATCATCGTATCTGCGATGTTATTTATCTAGCAATAAATTTGTCCGTCTTGATATACTACGCAAAACACGTTTTCCCGATAGTTTCACGCCGACGCGACGCGACGCCTTGGGAAGAATGATGCGATTCCCTCCCCCTCCCCCCCCCCCCCCCCCCCCCTCCGTCCAGAGTCGAGGACGTCGAAAACGCCTGACAATAAATTTTCTTAAAAGTTCAGCAATAAACACGCGAGTATATCGATCGTAAGGTTTCTCCTCCTAAGGTCGTTTGACCGGGTCAGCCGGAGCTCCGTTCCGCGCGCGCGGAAAAAAAAGACTCCGCAGGAGAGACGGCCAGCGAAACAAGCGCGCGAACGATGTACCAGGAAATGCGTACGCGGAAGTTTTATTGCTAATTACGTTATACTCTTCGAAATCGAGATGGTTACTCGTCGGTGTTTAATATTCCCGCGCGGATCCTGATAATTTATGAATAACCGTGCCGCTGCGAGAATCTTCGCGAGGTGCCGCGGACTTCGAGGAGAGATCATGGCCGTTGGAATTTACGTTTTCGCGACACGACCTGTCCGTAGAGATTTGTCTTAAAGGAAAGTTTTCGTATGTTTTAGAACGCGACCTCCTTCGCGAGTACATTAACGCATTCTTTATCGGTGCGCTATTATTAGTAATCTTACGATCATCAAACGCGTTTGGCATTTTGTGTCTTAAGGAGAATACAAATATTTCGATCTTATCTAAATATGGCTTCAAAATTGTAATGTTGTAATTGATTTTTCAAGGTATGCCACTTTGTATTATACATCGAATGCTTTGGATTTCAGAAAACTATACTAGACAGCAACGTCCGCTGTGGTATTATTCCTGTTTAATTTATGCATGGCCTCCGTAGCTTCGCGAGTATTTACAAAAGATACTTCTCTAAGTTAGATTAGAACGTAATATATGTCTGGCAACATAAATTGTGCAACGCGAAACGTGCAAGTTCGCAAAATCATGTTTGCAGCTCGCAAGACCCGACACGAGATCTCTGTCAATATTCTCGCGAACAAAATGGCCTTCCCTGTGCTAGAACACTTAAATAGCACTTCGTACATATTGCGAGCATGTTTTCGCATATATCCAGTGAAAAGACAGACTATTCATGTTTGCCGTCGCGAGATAATTAGTACCGAATTTATGAATCACTTGACACGATCCTTGAAAAGATGGCGTGATCTCTAACTAAACCATTTCAAAATATTTCTTCGTTGTCGAAGATGTACAGCTTTAATTATACTGATCGACAATGATTTTATTAAATGAATAATTTTAGTTCATTTTTATATATTTTTCATGCTAATTCTGAAAATAAGATTCAGAATTTATTTCGTAAGTTACAGTTTTTTTTTTGTAACCGATATCTCTTTTTAAAAATTCATACATTTTGTTAACAACAGCTCGTTGTATAAGATCTTTTTTTTAACTAAAATGATTTATTTTTTGCTTAAAGTCTTTTATGTAGAAAATCATATTAAATTCAAGCTGAATCATTTATTTGTAAGATCTAAGTAGAAGAGATAAGTAGAAGAATTTTTTAATACGTCATATTTAAAAATCCTGTCCTCATAAATTTAGCAAACAGAATTGAAATCAACACAAACAAATATTTTAAGAAACACTCTATTACATTAATTTAAAATAAGAAAAGTGATATTTTGTCGATCAGTGTTATTGCAATTTGCAAATTAATGCCATTGTATGTCTAAATGCTTATAACAATCTTTATTCTTCTCGTAAAATGCACCATTCCCAAATTCGATATAATCAAACGCTTGTGCTTTGGCCCAATAATAAATTGCACAATGCGGATACTTTTAATTTAATGAGTACTTTTATTCTTGTCTCGATTTTGGGAATTTAGCCGACTCTTTAATTCGCCGCGCTATTACGGCATCGGCATCCTGTTATACGCGATATTAAATAACGCAATGATTCGCTCGGCGATTACAATTATTATCATTACGCATTTAATGACGCCTAACGCGAGGCGGGTTGGGAATTATCGTTAGCGCAGGATTCTCTCTTTTCGACACGCCATGAGTGAAGCTACGTTTAGCGAAGATTTCAACTAGTAGACGCTATTCGTGTTTCCGCATTTCGATTCCTCTGCAGGGTCTCCTCAACAGGAGTCACGTGTTACATTGCGAGGGGATTCGCAAGTGACGCGTGAATTGTGCGTGGTACTGGCAGCATAGTGCACGCATCTTCGCCAACGAGGTGTTCACCTGCATGCACCTGCGTACTCGCGTTCACGCTCGTAACGCTCGCGACTGTAAAATGTGGAGTGGATAAGACTACTGCTTGTCGACTTAGGCGGGACAAGAGAGGCCACTCGATGTCCATCCTGCGAGCACTTCCTGTCGGATCTGATTCAGGTATTTCGAAGGACGGGCGCTGAGAAAAAGTACGACGAGAACGATATTACACGTATGACTGTTCTCCAAGCTCAATTAAAACTGCGACGATTTTATTACATCTCTTCCAATGTTCACGAGACTTTTACTTTAGAGATTCACAGTGTGTGTGTGTGTGTGGTTCATCACAGAAAACAATAAAAATTTAGCTTGTCCTAAGATAATATCAAGCTACAAAAACTTTCGAATTTTGCAATCAAAATAACATAAGAAAAAATTAAAAAGAGAAAACAGTAGCAAGAATACAATTAAATCATTTTAAATCATTTTGTCGAAATCATATCGAATTTATTTCTAATGCTATATTAATTCGAGTTCCTTTAATATTCTCCAAGTTTTTAATATTCATATTCTTTTTAATTATTTCAAATATATAATTAAAATAATTAGTTATGTTAAGAATTTCTAATTTTGCAGTTTTCACATGCAAGATTTGAAAATTTACAAACATAATGAAAATGAATTAAAATATGCTCGACTTATTAGTAAATATATTTACTCCTATTTTTTTCATAAATTTATGTTTAGCAAAAATTCAGTATAATAACAAAATGTTCTTTCTTATAATTGATTTGAAAAAAGAGTAATTGTTCGTGTCACAGATGAGATAATACGTCGCATATTTAATTGATGGGAATTTGTCAAGGCAATAAAAGTCATCATATCACACATATAAACACATATATACATATCAGTAAATTTCTAACAGCTATGATCAGACGATCGATCGGTTTAAGATATGTAATATCAAAAAGCGCGTGGAGTGCACATATAAATCATTAATCACGTCTATCGGGCTGATATTGTCGAAGAATTCGATCATTTAATCATCTTGACACCTTGTCGAATGTAATATCCGAAGATATTCGTCATTCAATCGTCCTTAAAGCTATGTTAATTCCTGCTCTGACTTTTTATACAAATTTTTAATTCTTCTCATGTTGGATCGTATAATATTCATTCTACTCATACACATTTCTTCATCTATTTTTCTGACACTAATCGTTCTGAAGACACGACTCTTCGCGGCTTCGAAAAGACGGTTCTCTTTTATTAGGTATAACAGGATACTGTAATAGTGCATTTAACATGACGGCACATCGCACGGATCGACATTAATGTCAGCCGTTTTTATTTCCATGCGCAAAATCATCCTCCAAGTTTTACGTTCTCTGTACAAAGTTTTCCATACTGCTGTTATTTTTGTATCGTTGAATAATTTTATATAACAATCTTTTACGCCGTATATCTTCCGAGCCGTAAACGTTCTTCGCGCATGTTTTTGCGATGCGTTATTTATCCGTCACCGATGCGCGCAACGACGTTATAAATTAACCTTCTATTTATCTATTAATCTATCTATTCGTACGAAACGTCCTTCTGTGCTGATCAAAGGTCGCCATTTGATTATTTTCGATACCGCGCGTTATCGCATTATGGAGCATCCCGATTCTCTATGCATCAATAAAATTTTAACTTATTGTTTTCTAGTAATTCTTGTGCCATGCCAGATATATCTTTCATCGTGTGAACTTTTCAGCGGTATGCCGTTTTATTGCTGAGGACCTGAGCGACAAGTCTAATTCTGCCGGACTGTCTCTTTCCATTTACACCTGTCGAGTAATCAAGGTGTTACCGACGTGTCAAAATAGATTCGGTCTCGAGGATATGTGTCAGACATTTAAAAAGCACGACCACGTCACTGCACGATCATTCAGGAAGAAGAAAGAGAATGAGAGAGAGAGAGAGGGGCATATCTGATTTTTTATTCTCACGACTTGAGAACCGTTCAATATCCACGAGGCGTCTCTCGAATATAAAGAAAGAATATATAGCATAATGGCTTATATGCTCATTGCTGAGCGTTTTTTTTTCGTCTCGCATCTTCTGTTATGGATTACGTAAATCTCGACGAAGAAACTGTATAACAAGATCGTCCAGGTTCTTTATCTAGTTATAAATTGATCAAGTTCTCTCTCTCTCTCTCTCTCTTTCTTTCTGTTCAAGAGTGAGAACGCGGAGGAAAGAGAATAAGAAACAGAAAAATGGGGTAACCGGAAGGGAGTGAGAAACAGACTGACAGACAGACATAAGGGGAGAGAGAGCGAGAGGGACGAAGTGACGAAGGAGAGAGTCCGGAAGAGAAGCAGGACCGGTTGCTTGTTCATTGACGGAGAGAAGGCCCGCTCGTGAATGGTGGTGGACACTTGCGAGCCAAGAATAGGATTCACCTCTTGGCGGTCTCGAATTTTTCTGCGTCGCGCTCGTGAACTCGCATCACAATCGCGTTACGTCGCATCTCCGTCCTTCCTCTCCTTCCTCACTTCCTCCCCTCTACCGCCTCTACGTAACTGT